TTCATTTGAAACTCGACAGTCTTTTCTTGTTCTTAGAAATGAAGGCTATTCCATGTGAGAAATTGCTAAGAAACTGAAGATTTCCTACAACGGTGTGCACTACTCCCTTCAAAGGACAGCAAAAACAGGCTCTAACCAGAGTAGAAAAAGAAGTGGGAGGCCGTGTTGCACAACTGAGCAAGAAGATAAGTACATTAGAGTTTCTATTTCGACTTCAGAGTAGAGTGGCAAAGAAAAAGCCATATCTGAGACTGGCCAATAAAAGAAAAAGATTAAGCTGGGCAAAAGAACAAAGATATTGGACAGAGGAAGACTGGAAAAAAGTGTTGTGGACGTATGAATTCAAGTTTGAGGTGTTTGGATCACAAAGGAGAACGTTTGTGAGACGCAGAACAAATGAAAAGATGCTGGAAGAATGCCTGACGCCATCTGTTAAGCATGGTGGAGGTAATGTGATGGTCTGGGGTTGCTTTTGTGCCGGTAAGGTGGGAGATTTGTACAGGGTGAAAGGGATTCTGAATAAGAAAGGCTATCACTCCATTTTGCAACGCCATGCCATACCCAGTGGACAGCGCTTGATTGGAGCCAATTTCATCTTACAACAGGACAATGACCCTAAACACACCTCCAAATTGGTAGGATCTTGGTGAGGATGTTCCCAATTGCTGCTTGGACCTTTATTAAAGATTTACCTCTCTCATATTTTGCACCTGAGCAAACTTCTACGGAATAAACATGCAAAGCCCATCTCTACGCATCTTTGATAATCCAACATAACTTTTAGCTCCTCTTCTCACAAGAGAAAGAAGAGTTGAAAGCATGCAGTTAACTCAGTGGTCGTACTAACAGAGGATCACACGTCTCCCAGACGTCGACACTGATCCAGGTCATGCACAAAGGCAAATGTTAAGGGTGGAGTTAAGGCTTAAATCTCTAAATCCACCATTGTGCTATCTCACCCTGTAAGCAGGAGAGGCAGCTGTTACCCAGGCTGTTTTGATTCCAGCATGCCAAACTCTGACACCTCTACACTTTTACTGCAGCCTACCGTCTCAGGTTGTGTCCTACTTTTTGTGAGCATGTTACAGGAGCTTAAAAAACCTAAAAACACAACAAAGTGTCACCAAACAAGATGGAAGCGTGGCGAATGGTTCATTTTTCACATCCAAAGAATGCCTGACAGATCATCAGAGCTGCATATAAAATGTTGCCCATGTGGTTCTTGCAGAACCAAGGCGACAGGGTTATAATGATAAAATGGGATTAGAGAGGAAGAGGAGGGGATAATGGTACAAAGAGTGGAACTGACTGTTAACAGGATCACCCAGGTTACCATGTCATGCTTCGACTTTAACAAACACAAGGTCAGTAAAGAATAACACACACCAGATTAGCTGCTTCACATTAGGACCAGGCCACCGAAGCAGGAATTAGAGCAGGGTGAGCCGTAAAACAGGGAGAGTCTCAGAGTCTAGTAGGAATATTTGCACTTTGTACATTTTGTCACTTAACTACATATTCAGTCAACTTTAAGAGAATTGCATATGATGCACCAAAACAAAGCAGCATAGTTGCTAAGTGCAAGTAAAATGATGCATATTTTATTTCAATGTATGAAGTTCTGTAGAACCATTTGCTCTCTGAAGTCACCCATGGGTTCAGGTTTTAGTCACAGTAAATGCAGCCATTCTGTTTCTGGCCTCAGACAGCTCAGGGTGACGATGATGACAAGCAGGGTTGGCTTTTAAAGTAATAGTGTAAACTTGGTGAATCCAACAGATTTTTTTTATTCAGTCCATTGGAAAAGAAGGAAAATGCCAAAACTGCAAACCTACCCTGATACGACTGTTCCACTAAAGTTCAGAAAAACAACCAAGAGCCTTTTTGTGACTCTGAAGAAGAATTGCAGAAATCCACAGCTCAGGTGTTGACAAGGAAAACTATAACTAAAGAACTTCACAAAAATACATTTATGGAAGAACAGCGAGAAGGAAGATATTTTTGACAGTTTTCTGCTCATATGAAACCAATATTTAACGTTTTGACACATCAAATGCACTAGTAAGGGTAGGGTGACAGGTTAAGGTTAATGAGAATATGTTTGAGCCTAAGCCAAGGTTAAACTTGGAAGAAAACTGTTAGATGCAGCTGCAAAACTTGAGATCGAGTCTCACAGCCAGAAAAATTAATGCTTTAGTTTAAACATACTCATGTTTTTTAATTTTCAAATTAACATAAAGACTTGAATTTAATCGATAAGCTGCTCTAAGACTCTAAACTGATGCTACTCATTCAATCTGACTGAGTTTTTACTTTTTTGTAGAATGAAAATGGAAATAAAAAACCTTATTTATAGAAGTGCATCGCTTTTAGAGTTATACATCCAAAAAACTTTTAGATGTTACTGCAGCAGAAGATGACTTTGCACGGTTTTCACTGATTTATAAGATCTATATGTCTATATATGTTTCTTTCATTGATTGATTAACTTTATTGATCTTCCAGTGGAGAGATTTACTAATTCATTTCCCTTTTCCTTCCTTTCTGTTGATCAGTTCAAAGTAAAAAACACTAAAGTTTGTAGCTGCTATAATTTCTTAAACAATATTTGTGCAAAAGATGCAGCAATTCCACTAAAGTCTATAAATAATACATCAGACAATGCAAAATGTTATGTTAATCCTTGACTTTATGCAAAGATAATGCAACTATGAGGAGCTTTAGGCGCACCTACCTGTAGCTCACACCATGCCACCTCCACTGTTGTTTCCGTGTCCAAACCTTTATACACGGTCTTGAAGGAACCTCTCCCGATCTCTATGTTGAATTTGAGATATCGTCCATCAGGTGAGGTTGCCACTGCTTTGGTTTCCACATCCTCCCTCTCCTCCTGCTCCCACTGCGTTTCAAAGGTGATGCGGGACAGCACCTTGTTCTGTCGGTGCTGGAGCTCGTTATCAGAGTCCGAGCTCGCTTCGTGAGCTTTGGCTCTGCGTTCAGAGGGCCAGTTTCCTCCGGTGGACCCCGCGGCGTTGGGCTCCTGGCTCCCCGAGGGCGCATCGGTGCCTGCGTCCTGACTGGAGACGGGAGACAGCTGCTTTGGAGACTCGTCCGCTTTTTCCTCCTCTACTCTGGACTCCGCGAGCGTCAGGATGTTTTCCGCTGACCAGGACAGGGCTTTGGAGAGGGCGCTGCTGTAAAGAGGGGAATCAATGTCCATGGTGATTTTTTGCAGGCAGTAGGAGTTCCTCCGCGCGTTCAAGCCATGCGTCCTGAGGACCGTGCGGGATAAGCAGTCGTCCGTCATGTCCACTGAGAGGCCTGGGAAGCCGCGTCCTGGGATCTCAACCTGTGCGTGAGACATTGTGGCGCTTCAAGGCTTTCCAATTTTAGAGCCTAAAGGTGGAAACGACATTAGACACATTTGGAAAAAACTGCAGAATCACTGCGAATCACAAGATATGGGAAGAGATTCAACATTTCCGACTAATAAAAATAAAAACTAAACTCCATGCATTAAAAGGATACTTACTTTTGCGTAAAAATGCGTAACCCATGAAACTCGTGCGTAAAGTTAACGCATAATTGAAGTCTCTGTTAGCTCTTCCTTTTTCTCTAATTAAACCTCTGCTCTTCCCAGAGACCTGAAGACATAACCTCCTGTGAGAGGACGGAGCAGCCAATATCAACAATGCTCCAGTGGGCCGTGCGTCCTGATCGCTCCAACTCCGCCCACCGCAGCCTCTGACGCGCAGAGATCCATCCGGAGGGAGCAACTGCTTCCAAAGTTACAGAAGATCATTAAAATGCGACTATTTGTTTTATGGGGGGGAAATTGTGAAATAAATAATGTGAAAATGTAATAATATGACGATTTAAAAAGGAAAAAAAATCTATCTATCTATCTGTTTTTTAGTTGATGTAGAAATAATTACAGGTACAATTTAGATTTTAGAAATTAGAGACTAAACTTCTTACTTTTTATTCTGATCTGTAAAGAATTCAAAAATAAAACACATAAAAAAAACAATTTGTGGTAATAACATTACAAAAGGCGCAGGTGAAATCTAACAACTGTCTTATAATTGTTGAAATATTCATTGTACTACAGTACAGAAAACTAATTTTATTCTTAAAGTGTCATAAAATAAAATGTATTTGGTTAACTTTGAACGCGTTCGATGTTTGTGTTTCTAATTCAGTTCAGGTGGATTTAAGTGTTGAATTTCTTTTACTTTCAGTCTGACCTAATTTTTTCTCAGCCTGAAAGAGAGATAAGCAACCATGATGGAAAGGAGAGGAGAGCAATTCTAGGTCTGCCTGCAGGGGGAGCTACAGGACGGTGGAGCAGCTGGAGTTTCTGTAACAGGAAACCACTATCAGCAAGGCCATACTGGGCTCCACCTGTGTAACAAGAACACTACATGGTTTTATCAGCAAACACAGAAATACACACATATACACGACTCCCTGGAGCCGTATCATCCTCACAGCACATGATGTGAGCAGGCCATCCAACATGCTGTCATTCAACGCAGCTGCAGACACAGAGAGCTCCATCATGGAGGATTTACTCTGCACGTCTCAGCCTGTGGCATTTACAGGATTGTAGGGAAGTTTTGAATAGTCCCTTTTTATTCTTAATGCTTCCAATGCTCCTGATTCCAATATATTTTCTATTTTTTTTTTTTACATCTAACCATGACGACATTTTCTACAACATACTGAGGAAATACAAAGCTTACAGCCCAAAGGTCTGGCTAAAGTAGATGAGGTATTATTCAAATCAGACCTAATCAAATAAATTATTATATTCTGAACTGCTAATGAGTGGAAATGTATATTAAAAAAGCTAAAACAAAACAGAAAGACTTAAGATTTACATAAAAGACCAACACACAAAAAAAATTGAAATCTTACTAAGTCATTTTTCTGAAAATTTTTTCTTGGTTTGAGGAGGTAAAAGAGACATTTTGCCAATGGAACAAGACAATTTACATTTAAAATAACAAAACACAATTGCATGTTCTTATTTCAAGTGCATATTATCCAATTATCTTATTTTAGGAGTAAAAATACTCATTCTATTGGCAAACAACCTCATTTACCTACTCAAATTAAGGGTAAATACATTTAATTTAAGAAAGTTTTACTTATTTCTAAATTGTTTTTCCAGTGCATAAAAGTAAGGTATAGCTGAAGTGGAAAATAATTAGCTTTAATGAAACTTGTGGGAATAGAAATCTGAAAGGTGCGGCATGCATATGTCGGCCCCTTTTACTCCATTTATAGAACAATCTTTCACTGTTAATCCATCTGGAAGTCTTTCAGTGATGACAAATAAGCCCCTTCTGCCAGCTTCCCTTTTATTTATCAGCGCCATTGAGCTTTTTTTTTTTATCTGCTTGACACAACATGATACAGCCACTGCCATGTTTTTTTGTTTTTTTTTTTTTAATTGAAGGTAGGTTTAAGATGATGTGCACAGTTTTGTACATTTCAATCTGAAAAATTCACACAAACAGAAAAGATAATTAGGAAAAATGTATTGACCAATTACTTGGTCTTTGGCGCTTAGACCTTGGCAGGAAACATAGCGCTTAATTTTGATAGATAAGTATGAACAGGAGTAAAGAATAGGGCTGTTTCCCTCCCGGCTTGAAACTGGTGGTGGAGTGGAGATAGATGAAGTTGGTCAGTCTGTAGACTGCTGGTTAGTGAGACGGTCTGCTGAGCTTTATGGGGAGATCCAGTGGACTGACTGGGCTGATACTAGAGCTTGACTCAGGGACCTGGAAGATGGAAGTTCAGTTTGGATAACACAGGTTGAGAGAACCTATACAAGATTAGCAAGCATGAAGCTACAGTGGAAAGGAAAAACTCCCCGTACGGAAGAAACCTCTGGCAGAACCAGGCCCAACATGGTGGTCTTCTGCCGGACCGGTTGAAATGAGAGAGGGAATTCAGTAAGATTCCGGGAGGAATGACACCCTGATGAAGCTTTAGCTACGATGGTGGAGGAGGGTTAAAACGCGGTCATTTGAATGAAGTCACACAGCGCATCTGCCGCCGGCGCACAGGAGCAGACAAGCGGGGATCGGAGGCCTTTTAAGATGAACTTTGGATGCCGATTGGCTTTCGTGGATGTGAGGTTTATAGCTGATTGGCTGTGTCTCAGGTAGATGTAGGAGAGCAATGAGTTTCTTCAGTTAAACTTCCGCCTAGGCTCCTTTTTTCATGCAGCCAGACAGAATGAGTTTGGCTTAATCTAACCAGAACACCTGCTTTCTTGTTTTGTTGTGTCAACTAGATAATTGATTCCCAAAATGGGGGTCGAGGCACCAATTGGGGTCACAGATAAACAAGTAGAGGTCTTGATATTCTCTACAGTAATTAAACCAAACAACAAATATGATAATGAAGCATATTTAAAGATACAGAAACATCACTTAAAGAAAAGTTTTTTTTGTATATCTGTTTTTATTACAGATATACTGATGTTTTATAGATTATTAAAATTGTTTGCTGCTCAGGAAATAGTTTGGGTCATGGAAGTTTAGGAACCTCTGCACAAGATGGATGACTCTGATGTGCAAAGACTTCTTTTGACTTTCCTTCAGTAATGGGGGAATGTTTAATGTTCCTGTCAACATGTTAACCCATCGAAACTTCAGACATCTGCTTCTCTGGTTGAACCTTTCTGTGCCCAGCTTCAGTTTGTGCGTCTTTGCAAGACACCACATCTCTTGAGCTTTTTAGATGATTCAGATTTAAAGAAAAACTGAGAGAATGAGGCAATGTTAACAAATTCTTAATTTATTCTCCTGAAGAATATGAAAAAAGACAGAGGAAAAGACAACAAGTGCGTCACAAGAAGCTACAGTACAACAACAGGATCAGAGCAATCAGTATACAAAGTAAAGTCGATCGAGCTAGGATTGCCTCGCGCCTGCAGTGTTCCTCCTCTGGAAGCATTAATTCAGGAAATAAAATAAAAAAGTCCCTTTAGCCTCATGTTGTGGTATTTCTTTGGGAAGTCCAGCTGGGAAGGGAGGAACAACAGCCGAGCCGACGTCCAGAGCTAATCATACGCAGTAAACTTGTTGACAGAGAAAATGGAGATCGAACTAGTTGCTTTTAAAATCTAAATGAAGGAATCGAGTTACAGCTTGTGGAGAATTCCCATAAAATACCAAGACAAGATAGTGTTTAGTCCCCTGATACTCATTGCATGTTTAAATGGCAACAAATGTCACCTGTGATAACTTTAGAAACACAGTGTTACCTCAGATGCTCTTTTTCCCTCCATAAACAACAATGGTTCTCTTCCAGAAAGAGAGGCTGTGAATCGAAAGGCAACTACAACAAGAGCTAAAGAACCAGCATCTGCCAGGCTGGGCATCCAGGCGCGACCCATCCAACCTCACACAGACACATCCTAAAGATTCGCCTTGCTTCCCGGCTGGAGTGTTCAGTTTGATTCCAGCACCGCTTCAGAAAAACTTGACGCCTTTTCCATCATCCATGGTGATGATCTCTGCTTTTCCTTCCGCCTGTAAAGCCTGCAGGGAGCGCTGCAGCATCCAGTCCTCTAAACCATGGAACTCTGCAGCAAAAAGAAGAACAACCTATTAGAGGGAGCATTACCCAAACACAATATAAAGAACTTTAGATGGTTCAATGAATTGAAAAGAATAATGCATCTTTTAAATGTCTTCCTGTATTTAAAATTTTTATTTATTCATCTTGTATATCAGCATTTTATGTTTTACCATTTAAACACTTTGGATCCAGGAGAAAAAGAAAAAAGATATAATAAAAACAACTTTAATCATATAAAGCATAATGAATTAAAGGGGAACACCTTTTTTTTGTACATTGGCCCCTTGGTTTTACGTTATTACATCATGTTCTACTCACCCATATTAGTTTTGTGTCATTTGGAGCTTTTCTGTAGATATTCTGTTTTGTCATATCCAAGTAACGTCTTCCTATGGGCAACGAGTTGAAGGAACAAACTAGATTGTTCATAATTTATTCTTTATGGTACGCCAGCATTCATAACATGTAGGCCAATCACTGTCCCCCCAGACATCTGCGGTTATATCTTTTATATCTATTTTTTTTTTTAACAAAGCTGCTTGTGTATGACGTCATCTGTACGCCGGACTGGAGCTGTGACAGGCAGCCCGGGCCACAGGCGGCTACGCTCTACCTCTTCTATTCATTCTAGCTAATCTGAATCCTAATTCCATTTCGAGAGCGAGATCATCTGTGGTAGTAGCACTAGACATCTTCCAGGCATGTGAGTAAAACTAGCAGCAGTTCAGCGGACAGGAAGAATGAATGGTAGCCGGCGCGTGCAGATGATGTCATAAAAGCGCCGCTTTGTTTTTAAAAGATATAAATATAAAAAACTAGAACCGCGGATGTCTGGGGGACAGTGATTGGCCTACATGTTATGAATGCTGACGTACCATAAGCAGTGGTGTCAAAA